GAGCCCCCCCCCCTTGTGAGGTATAAAATCTTACAATTTGTATGTTTATGCAACTTTTTAAAAAATAATTCTGTGTTTCTTAAACTGTAATTTTAAAAGTATTCATCTTGGGTTTTTTTCTTTTGAAAAAGCTGCAGGTTCTTTTGGTCTTTAATGCGCATATTCATTCATATTCATATGCACATATTCATTTATCTTGATAGTACCTCTGCAGTATATACAAGCATTTTTATACCAACTTGATAGTTGGGGAAATTGAGCTACAGAGTGACTAAATGATCAGGGTTCCTTAGAGTTAGCTCACAAATATTAGCATCCAGGCCTTGGGTCTAAGCAGGAATCAACGTGCGCTTTTTAAAGTTAAACTTTCTGAGATTTGTCTTTTGCATTATCTGATCTAAAGCGGCTTTGCAATGTTTGCTCCCGCATCAAAGCGCACAGTGCATCATTACAGAGTTTCTTATTTTTCTTTTTAGGCTCGTTCCTATCATCTTGAAGGGAAGCCACTGAAAGCTTCGGGACCACAAGAGGGCGTGTTCTGTTTTGCATTTAACGTATTTGACCGCTCTCAGTGCCAGTCACAACACCTGAACAGGTTAACTTCATGTTTGCATGCAAATTTAGTGTGCTGGAGAGGTTCCAGGTTCTTCTATTGAAAACTGAAATAATTCCACAGCGCATACAGCATCTTTGCCATTTCTGTCCTCTGCCCGAGTGTGTCATGCCTGGCCTGGACCGACCACATCTGAAGAGGAGATGAGGTGAGTTAATTAATCTCTTTAGCCTGCTGAGGTTTCTGCTGCTCCACTGGGACTGTACAAAAGCCAATTATTGACAAAAGTGTTGCTGAATTATGAGAGACAGGCTATTGTCTGCCGCACAAGGTACAGGGCTACCAAGGTCATTTTGATTGTATCACATAGCACAGCTGGTAACAACTGCCGGTTACGAGGATGGCTTTGAAATAGCTCCATATCAGTTGGCATCGAGTCATCCTTCCTCTTGGAAAGTCATCAGTGCACTAAGGACGTGGTGACATGAAGGTGAGAATCTGGTGTACTCCATTGGACCTAAAATCTCAGGGTACCTTATATGCAATAACTGTCTGACCTGAGTCGCCATTCTACAATCCTTCTGTTAAAACAAGTATAACCTAAAGTTACTGTATTTGCCTCCTTCCTAGAAGCAGGAGAACTGATGTAGTTTGTTTCTTTGCTGATTCTGAGATTACCTTAGTTTGATTCAGCTGGAAACATTCATGTGTTTCCCTTCAACAAGGTCTCCAAAATTATGTTACTGGGTTTTGGGGTGGGGTTTTTTTTTTTTTTTTTCCTTTTTCAGGCTTGAAGAATAGCAGTGACTTCACCTACAGTTCTGTTTTAGAAAGGGAGTGTATATAAAAATGGCATTGCAGGAGTACTTTTTTGCTTCTCATTTAGGCTGTGCCAGGACTGGCTGCAGCCACAGTGGAGACTATGTGCAGGGGGTGGGAGGGAAGGGAAGGTTACATGGTCTCCTTAAAAAAAAAAAAAAAAAAAAACAGGTATTTGACCCTGCTTAGTACAGCAGATAGGCATAGATAATAGATGTCAACTGAGGACCTATTCTCAGCTAGCCAGAGTTAGAAGTCTTACAGCTTGAAGAAGGAGGCCTTAGGCCTCCTCTGTAAAGGAGGCTTGGTTTCCTGCCTGCTGAAAGGAGAGTGAAGCTCTTTTCTGCTGTCACTGTTGTGAAGCTTCCACACCCATTTGCTTGAGGGGAAAGTAAAATAGATTTTTGAAGTTTTTCTAATTTCTGTGGTGCTTGTTGAAAAAAAGCATTCCTGTAGAAAGGAACCTTCTACCATGTGGCTGCTCTCTCCTCCGCTGTCATGTGTTTGAGATCAAACCTCTCCCTGGACAATGCTGACTTGGGGGTTTACAATTCCTTGAATTTCCTTGACTAATCAGTTCCCATTTACCACATGTGGTCAATTAACAAGAATGAAGAGGTCTTTCCTACCTATAAGTCCTGCTGCAAAATTTGTGTCTTAGAATTTAGTCTGTGGGCTTGGAGGGAGAGTGGTGCTTAATTTATGGTTTTCCTCTTTGAGTATCATCACAGGTCATATACTGTCTTCTGTTTCTCTTGTGCAACTGCACTGCCATCAGATGAGATAATTAATATTGAAGCACAGCACCCCTGCTTGTTAATTTACACATTTCTAATGGATTTGAAATCAGTGAAGAGCTCTGCTCTGTTGATAATGCGCAAGAGACAATGGAATTTAACACATTTTTTTTCATCTGGAATGACTTGCAAAGCTGATGGCACACAGCAGAACAGGATCCTAGATGAAACCCAGGCTGTGCTGAAGTCTGTGAGTTGGTGCCAAGCACAGATTGGACTCTGACCGCATGTGCGCAGAAGCTGAATAAGTAAGAAGATACCATTTCTCACCACATCTACCATTGAAATAGAATAGAGCAAATGGGAAAGTGTTCAATATCAAAGTATAGCGTAATGAATCAGGTTCTTTCATGACAGTTTTTTCAGAAGTAAGGGTTTACTCAGTCAGACCAACATTTCACCTAACCCCATCTCCGATACTGGCCATAATTTAAATAAAAAAAAAAAAAAATAGGGCAAGCGTAGGTGCTGATGTCGCTTCAGTTTCCTCTTTATTATTGCTTTGTTAAGTGAGTAACTCTGAATTTCTAAATTATGAAATGTAATAGTTTATTAAAGTCATGAAGCTTTTCCGGAGATATCTACATATTAACAGAATGCAGTAAATTAGGTCCATGCAGAAACAGATACAAAGAAAATGGCAATAGAAAAACAAAACTTTGTCATACAGAAAAGAAAGGCTAGACAAAAACCAACTATAAGAGAAAACAGTTGAAAAATCTCACCACCACAGAAAAACCTGTGTTAGTCTTGAGAAGTAGGTTCCAAAGCGCAAGCTCTGCAACGTGTAGGACAAGGTCAGGACATTAATAAATAAGACATGTTCTCCATCACAGAGCTTTTAATTTATCCTATCAACATGAGTTAGTTAATAATTAACAGGACACTGTGATCCTCATATAGGAGGTCCTATAAAAATGAAAATTTAAGGCCCAGTAGATTGCTGTCTATTAAAAGCATTTTAAAGGACTTACTGTATTGTTACTGCAGTTACATTTTAAGGAACAAGATTTTGATGTGCATTTAAACATAATAGTGTGGCATTTGCAACCCAATGTCTTTAATAGAACACTAAGATTAAGCAAAAAGCACTGCTTACATTTCAGTTTTTCTATCCAAGCTTATTTTAGTAAATCAGTAAGATTATTTTTTTCTATGTAACTTTCACCATAACCCTTCCCCTTAAAATATTTAAACATAAAATAATTTTAAAGAAATTATTGCTGTTCCTCGGGACAAAAGATATGACAGTTTTCAGAACAGTGCACCAATATCTAGTCTGAATGAAGTTACTAACATGCAAGTCTTCGTGAGCAAACTGGCAAAGTCAACGTGTTTCTCTGCAGCAGGGCAATGAAAGAAGTTCTGCTCATGGACAGACATCCTTTTGATGACAGTTTTGACAGTTTAAATTTATTTGGGGCGTTTAAACTAACTCGGAGCAGGATTAGCTTAATCAACCTGGTCTTCATAAATTAATCAAGCTGTTTGTTGGCTGAATGTCTGCTGTTCCCGCTGTTGTATGATCTGTAGCATTTTGGTGAAGTGTTTCTTCTGAACGCATCGCATACAAGACTTTTAGCTGACCTCAGACAGGTTTTCGTGTTAGGAGGTTTTTAGCAATAAAAGATGCTCAATAGTTAGAGCTACTATTGTGAAAGAGCTTCCCTCAGAAGGGGTATCATTTCTGTTACTTTAAATTTTTAAAATTAGACAGAAGAAAATCCTAAGAGGAACAGTTTTGTATGTGCATTATTTGATCTGAATATGTATTTTCAGTTTGATACCATTCAAAACAACTTTAACACTGACCAAAAGTCAGTCACCATTAAACTACAATAGGTCGTATTTTATAGAGAAGCTGGATGACTTGGATGAGGTCCTAAAGGAGCTGATGGAGAAACTGATATACAAAATAAATCAGCTCTCCCAGGATTTCACAAAAAGCTAAGATTTGGGAGGTCCTAGTACCCTCGGGTGGGGATCTGACTGAATCTTCTCAAGATTCTTCCAAGTGGAGAGGCCTAGTAATGTCCTTTTCACATTAGTTTCCTAATTGATGTTGCTGCTGCGTCTTTAGTTTCATCTTTTCAAACGAAATGTTGGTTTTGTTCCATGACAGATGACTTTAAAAATTCAAGTAGACAGGCATTTTTAGGTAGAATCAAAACAAAGTCAAATAAGGCTGAAATAAACTGCATTCTGGTCTAGCACAACATCAGCCCTTAAATAAATAGTGAGAAGCTTGGGAACTCTAGGCTCTCTCTGTACAGCAGATGGCATTACAGGTAATACTTATCATACTCCAATCTCAAGACTAAGATAGCAGGGAGGGAGGATTGACGTCAGCTACAAGTGAATCAGTCTTAATATGAGCTGAAAAACTGCTTGTGTCTTCAACAGTTGATTACATTGTACAGCACTTCTGCTTAGCACTCCCCACTGCATTTATTAGTCTATATAAGCAAGCCTAGCGGGAAGAGTTCATTTTGTGTTGCAGCTTAAACGAGCTGATGTAAATGGATCTTGGACTTTGAGGTGGGAAGATTCAACACAGTGGCTGTAACCAGGGGGATGCCCTTTGTCCTAGTTTTTGTGCCAAATTTGTGCATTTGAGAATTTTAAACAAATATCACTTGGCAAGATGCAGCCCGTCTGGGTACGAGAATGAGACTGGGTGAGACAGCATAGCACACTTCTCACGTACTGGGAGAGATTTACAAGGAGATCTATCAGTAGTGATACTGTACAGTGAAAAACAAATCCTGTCCTATTACCTTTAAAAATGCTCTTTCTGTTTTTCTCGCAGGAGCTCAGTGATCTTCTGAATGAAAAACACTAGTAATTTTTCATCTGGGTAAAAGGTGTCATCGTGCAGGAGTGAAAGAGTTCAGCAAAAGTTAATCACGTAAATGATGTCTTCCTCATCTGTCTGGGTAAAACTGAGTAGGTGAACTGGCATGGAGGGATTATGAACTGCTAATAATGAACTGAATGTATATCCTGGCTTAGAAACCCTTCTGAAACAGTCACGCTCTGCCAAGTGGGTTTGACAGCCTTGCTCTTGCGCTGAATTTCTCAATCTGTGAGCCATGGCTGACTGGCAAAGTGCTATGAAAAGCGTCCCCTCCTTCTCTAAGACCCATGTGAAACGGCAAGAAACGTTCACGTTTAGTTCAAGTGAGGTAGGGGATTATAGACAGAGAAGCAACTCATGTCAAAGCAGTGTAGGACAAAACACCTTGTGCTGCTAACCAGAGCTACCTCAGGGCACTCCAGTGCTATAGGCAACGTTGAATTTAGCTGCATCAAGGAAAAAGATTTTAAGTCAGGTTGGGCTTAACCTAAAAGGGCCCTGGACAAAAAGAATGAGTGAACTGTGTGTCTATGTTTCCTTTTCCTGCTAGAAATATTGGATGGGGTGCGGCAGCAAGCTTTGCTGCTGAGAGAAGCCACCTTGGAAGCAGTCTGTCATCCCACGCGCCTTGGCCGGCTGTGGCACAGCACACCCGTATCTCCAGCCTGCTGGCAAGTGTGGTGGCAGTTTCTGACCTTCCAAAGCTGAGCCTGGGCCCTCTCTGAGGTCCTGCATTTGCTTTCCCCGCATTCTGAATAGCAAATGGGCTGATTAATTTTTGAAGTTTGGAGACCATTTTGGTTTTAGGCTGAAAATTTCATGCATCATTTAAGCCTCTGAGTTTAAAGGGGATGAGTATTTCCTCCATTGAGATATACAGCAATTGAAATGCTTACTGTCTCTTATCCTATTATAATAATGTCTCTTTGATATGAACATTCCCAGCCGGTTGGGTCCAGGGAGTATGCCACACAGGTTTTGCTTTCACTGAGGTCAGGTTTCAGGCCAACCTGTTCTTTATTCTGTCTATTGTTTTGTTATTTACATACCTTTTTGATTATATAATGCAGTGGCAGCCGCTTTATGCGTGTGTATGCATACGCTCTGCATGAATTAATGCATGTTGTTTAGAGCTACCTGCTAGGAACTTGCAAAGCACCGAGCTCTTTTGCACACCCACGAGCTGTGCAGAAAACTGCTCTGCAGAGGATGAGAATTCGCCTTTTTGAAAAAGGTGACTCTTTAAGGTGTTGATAGGTTAAAGTTGTCTAAGTTGATCCTTGAAAACCAACTCACTCTGCTTCTGTTTATCGAATTCTGATAATATCTAGTGGTTGGGGGGGGGGGGGGGGGGGCGGGGGTGTACGTGGTGGCTGCATACCATGACCTTATCTGAAGGGCTCTCTTTTATTTGGCTCCTGAGGTCCGGTTATCTAAAACGGACTAATGATCTGTAGTACCCTTGCATGCATTTCGAGTAGAATGATGTAACCAAAAAAAAAAAAAAAAACCACGCATGCTTTAGAGAGCTGGTCCTACATCTCACAGAAACAACTAGGAGTTGCCTTTTTAAAAAACAAATTTCGCCCACTATGACTCATGCAGCCATCCTCAGGTCGCCCGCAAGCGCAGAAGGCCACCGAGTTCCCTCCAGTTATTCGGAGCACGCGAGACGCGCAACCCGACGCAGGCGTGGAAGACAAGAATCAAGGCCGGGCGCAGTGGGGCTAACCCGTGGGCCGAAAAAAAACAGCTGAATAATGGCGGGGGAGGGGGGGAAGCAAGGCCACGGTGAGGGGCAGAGCAGCGGCCTTCCCCCC